ACTCAAGGAAGTAAGTTCCAAAAAGATCCAAGTCTTTACCAGGCAGCTGATTAAAGCTCCAGTCTCATCTTATTCATACAAGATGAAGTATCATGACTAACGAATTCTAAAAGTATTTCTGATACTATTCCCTAATTACTTGTTCCTCAAACCAGAGGTAGTAAATTAACTGAACTGATCTCTGTAAATTTCAAGTTGTGTTAAAATTTAATTTTCTGAGGTTTTAAAGGTAGAAGGGCTTCTGTAACTTCTTAATATTGTTTTTTAAGTATGCAGTGCCTCTCCCAGCCACAGGCAAACCACATATAGATGTCGTGAAGATTTGTGAGGCCACTGGGAGTAGTTGCTGCATTTTTCCTGGAACCTAAAAACAGGCATTTTAAATGTCCTAAGTGCTTTACCAGGCTGTTGTGACCTATCTGTTCTAGCTGTTGCAGTGTATGGACAAACTTCTGGGAAGCTGCAGGACCTGGGCACTGCGCAAAGGCACTGTGACACATCAGCAGTGGGTTGTCATGCATTATGCAGGGAGATTGAGTAATGAATTCTGGGCAAGCAATGTCACTCAGAAGTTCTGAAACGAAAATGCTAATCACAGCTGTAAAGAGCATGAGTGGATTGAGGTTTTTCTTGTATGACTATTTGTAGGTAATTAGTATGAAGTCATGTGGGGAAACTGCTCCTTTATGTACAGTGTGCTGGAGAGAATGTTCACGTAGTGAGCTGAGTTACTACAAGTTCCTAAGAGGAATCCTGGATTGGGGAAAATATTTATTAGCATTTTTTCTTTTTATCCCTAAGTGTACCTATGTGGCCACTCTATGCCCTTTGAGCTCTTGTACAGTTTAATTTCACACTGCAATTGCTTAGTGTAATGGAAAGGTCTTTCCCCATCTCCCCCACTCCAGTCCCCATTCATAAATAAATGCATATCACAGACACAGATCACAGAGTTCCTTTCCAGCTCTTCACTCATCTTCTAGCTTAGCCAAAACCTTGAAGAAAAAATTAGGCTGAGTCTTTTGAAGTGCAACACATCCAGGCTCTGCAGGTGGAAAGTGGGAATGCCCACTGCAAATTCCTGTTCTCCTCACTTAAAATCAAGCTGAGTACCTGTATGACCTCTCCTTATTCTAACAGTCCTGATTAGCAGAGTCCTTGATATAACCATGTCCCATATGTGCAAGGGTTCTTATACTGAATGTCAAAATCACTATCGTGGGAATTCTCTCTGTCACTGTATCAAGTGATGTTCCTGAGCAGTGCACTTAACTGGTAGATTGTTGCAGCCTGTATTTGAGTTTTTATTTGCGTGGTCCAAGTACACAGCCCTAGATATGAAGAGCATATCAAAATGGGCCACAGACCATTCTGAGTTGCATTGTTGCAGTTGGTAGATTGCAAAATGCAATCTTACCACATCAGCCAACAGCATCAATCCAAGATTAACAATTAACCTACATTCCTGTGTCACAAATGAGTAGGCATGCAGTTGGACACTCAGAATCAGGAATGCATATCACCTTTTTATCAGTGCACTGTCTATCTGCTGGAATAACACCATTTCAATAACCATTTCAAGACCCTTGAAATCAAAATTCCCAAAGTTTAGGTCACCTTGCAAGCATTTATTCCTTCTGTTTTTTTGGAAGAGCCTCTTGACAGTTCTTACTGTTTCCTGGCTGTCTTGGCACAGTGGTGGTAATATTTAATCAGTTACAGAATAGTATTTATGAAGACTTTTAAGTTGTAAGTAATATATCAGCATGAAATTCTATTATTGTATTATTCAAGGTTCTTTTTCCTGTGCAGAAATTTCTCTGCTACAACATAAGAAAGGTCCTTTAGTAGATGGTTTTTAAAATTACCTATTTAGAAACTAATTTCAAAAGGGCCCTCCTTGTTTATCCATCTCTAACTTCTATGTAATTCTGGGGGAAGGGGAGAGGATGATGAAATCTGTAAGGGTGGGTACCCATATCCATGATAGCTCTGCTGAAGCACCCCTTTTGGCTTTTGTCTGTACCCTTGCTCTGTTGCTATCTAGTGTAGTGTGGGGTGCATTCGTTTTCCAGCTAAATGTGCTTATCTTCCTGCCACATGTGGCGGTTTCAACAACGAACACGCATACAAATGGATGTGTTCAAAGCTCACCTAAAATCATATCAGTTTGCTGTGCTAGCTCTAAGCCACATTTGGCAGTGATATGGTGGCCTTTGACAGTTTTTGGAGACCTTGTTCTGCCCTTCTTGGAAAGTGACCTCTGTAATTCACAAATTCCTCGTCAAGCTGTCTGCATGAGTTGTAATTCATGTGGCTCTGCAGGAGTAGACCGTAAGAAGTGATTTAGTAGCTCTACTGCATAAACCTAGAGATAATAATTCAGTCTATATTCTCAAATAAAAAAAAATAATTGCTGTTTTGTCTTCTCACCAAGGCCTGCAAATGAGGAAAACTGCATTGTTTGCTCTACCAAAGATATCTGTGAACTCTTCTTAGCAAAATAGTTCAAAGGCTTTTCACCTGTGTTTCCTAAGTGTGAAACAAAATGGTATTTTCTTTTGCTCATCTTTTGTCTTGTTTATTAAATACTAAATCCTTCAGGGCCAGAACTGTCCATTCTATAGGTATAAACAGAACATCTAATTTTGATATGGGCTTCTAGTGGCTACTGCAACTAAAAGATTATTAAAAAGGAGTGTGAGGTTTTTTATGGTCACTAGAAAATTGGTTGATGATTAGATTAACAGAAGTCAAAATTTACCAAAAATGGACTTGAAGCTGAGAAGATATGATAAGCTAGATAAAAGTGCTAATTTAGCTCTTATTTAAAAAAATAAAAATATTAAAAAATCACTCTTAGATTATTGGTAAAGAAATAGAAAATACCAGCATGGCACTGTATGCACAAAGTAAATGATTGTTCATCCTTATCTTGAATACTGTGCAAAGTATCTTCTTATCCCCAAAATCCATAAAAGTGGAACAGCTCCAGCTCAGAGAAGGATAATAAAGATGATCCAAAGATATGGAAAAGCTTTGTTACAAAGAATCATTGAGTTGGCTGTGACTCTTCAGTCTTGAAATGAGAGAAGAGCTGTAGGTCCGTGCAAGGGACAAAGAAAGATACCAAACAATTTTTCTCCTCCAGCACAAGAAGTAAGGCACATTGATGAAGGCAATTGGAGCAATATTCAGACAGACTCTTGATGCTCTGGGCAGAAGGTCTGTGGAAGGGCAGCTTCCAGTTCATCACCAAGGAAGCTGCTGATTTAAAACTGGTCCAGTAAGTGGATAAGTACATGGGAGGAACAAAAAAAAAAAAAAAAGAAAAGAAAAAAAAGACAAAAAATTACTACCTTGAGAGATTATTCAATGTTTAAAGCTTCTGGTAATACAAGTTGCTATTAAGAAGTAGTGTAAACCAGGAGACAGTGGCAG